GCAAATACTTCAAGTAAAGTTGTATTTTTTATGATTAAGCTAGCAGCCAGTGCGGTTGCCCTCATTTTTTGTTTGTTTTTTTCAGCCCATGGACATGGAGAAAATTCAACGTTTGCTCGGCAACAAAGGCTCATGGGACTTTTCATCATTTAAAATTTGAGTACCCGGTATATGTGGTCTTATAAGGTGTGGAAATCTAGGTATGGACTTAAATCTAATWTAAATGTCTCTTGAAGTTACTTGCATTTTAAGTTTAATCTTAAYATATTTCAAGGATAAAGTACCACCATGAGTTAGGACTATCTGACTACAGATCCTTGTACCTAWAGTTGGACCAATGGTTGAAAAGACTAAGTGTAAATATAGTATATCTACATAAGACAGGAGATTACAATCTAGGAACCAGGACAACTTCTCCGCGGGCCCCACTTTGGGCACCTCTGGTTTAGGGTAAGGGGTCAGGGTTAGGCTGTAGAAATAAATGGAAGTCAATGCAAAGTCCCTACAAGGATAGAAAAACCAATGTGTGTGAGTGTAGCTCACTGTCACTGACTGTTTACTGCAGTTACCCATAAGGAAAAGTTTCTGTTCATGTTTTGTGTAATGAGCTTCGTTGGGTTTTGACACAACCAACTTCTTAAAACAAACTGAATTGACATTTTTAATCTAACAGCCCTGTGGAGCACAGCAGGGCGTCACAAGTTTGTTTCCAGAGGAAGTCCACTCCCCTCACTTTTCTGCAGACTTCTCCATTTAAAACTCACAGTTTCAAACCATCTGTGCTCTTCAGAAGTTTTGAGAGTACCGTGACAATCTCTAATTGAAAATTAAACCTGCACTCTACTGGGTGAAAATGATTCAAAGGGACAGAGACAGACAGGAGGAGATAACGGGCAGAAGAAATGGAGGAAGGATCTGCTTGATGGTTCGCCTGAAAGAGGAGAGTGTGGTGTTTGTGGAAAACTGCTGTTCGCGGGGGTTTTAAGAAGCAAAACTTAAAGATGACAGCAAAGCACAAAGAAGACAGAGGAACAGCAGTCTTCTGCTTACCAACACAAAACTCATTATAAATATTTCTTTCCACAGAGCTGAGCATCTCCTATAAATCCCGAATGAACAAAGTTCACTTCAGTCCACAGTGAGGTCATGTTACCCTCTATGTGGAACGGTCTTCTAGTTATGATGATCCTTATGGTCTTTGTTTTACTGGCAGGATATGTTCAAAAAGACTATCTGACTATCTTACATCAGACTGGTCATCCAGCTACACCGAGCAGCCTTACTGACAGAGGAGACCAAGAACCTGATGGTCACTCTAAACGGCAGAGATGAGATTCAGAAGAACAATCAGACCAGGGGCCTCATGTACGAAGACTTGCGTGGATTTCTTACTGAAACGTGGCATATGGTCAAATCCAGAAAATGGCGCACACACAAAAAAATCCAGATGCATCAAACTGTGCGTACGCCTGGATCCACGCACATTTCTTTTTTACATCACAAACGTGGAACTGAATGCAGATAAGACACACGCCTTCATTAACATATGTTAAACAGATGCAAATTACTTCCTGCATGTGTGAAGGACATGTTTGTTTGATCCCTGCGCGATCAGAAATGATTTCTAGATTCAGGAAAATAATGAATTAAATATAATGTGAGTGAGAAAAAAATCCTGAGTAAAAATAAGAGTAAAATATATTTGTCACGCAAAGAGCGAGTGACTGTGTGTGTGTGTGCGTGCGTGCGTGCGTGCGTGCGTGCGTGCGTGCGTGCGCGCGTGCGTGCGTGCGTGTGTGTGTGTGTGTGTGTGTGCAGCCGGCGCATCTATTCATTCTGAGCCTGGAAATATTAATGTTACACAGGAGTTTATTACCATAATTAGAGAGGAACAGAGGAACTTAAATGTTTGGTAGAACGTAGATCTTTGTTTATTTCATCACTGCGCCTCAGTACTGGAGAGTTTTCATGACATCACATAATGTTGGAGCGTTAGATTCAGATGGATGAGACCGTTCCATTGGTCATGATTCGGCTTTGGGTGGACTGGACTGGCACAGTACCGATCGGTCTGCCAGCTCCCTTTGGAAAGCTCCTGTGGAACCCCAGTTCAATCGCTGCTGCTGCACATGCATGCGCACTGGATCCTCACTGTGTCACACTCCCAGAGCGCCGCAGTGCCAAACTGAAAAATGATTTTTCCTCAAAACAGTTGATGAGCCACTCGTCATGGATCAGAAAATTCTATCTGTTTATAAATAAACGCTCTGCGTGTTACACTATTTATTATGTCTTCCAGTAAAGCTGAATCTGTTCCTGTTAAATATATTTTTGGCACAACTTTGCACGTCTTTTATCTAACTGCGTCCATGTGGATGTAATAATTGTTAATCATGTGTGTGGTTTGGACAATAATCATTTTCACATCATGAACAGTTTCTCAGAATCACCTCTATGTGTCTCCAATGAAACCAGAACCACAGAAACCTGTGACACCAGCCCTGGAGTTGGCGTGGGGCTGCACACATTTCCACGTTCAGTTCAGTTTTGATACATCCGGAGTTTTGCTTGGAAAATGGCATACGCAAGGTTTTTGTGCGTATGCACCGTTGATACATGAGGCCCCTGGTCTCCACCAATCTGGGTTTTATAGTAGACTGGCTGAACGTGAGTCTCATTGATCTGATAAAAGCAAGACTGAAGGCTTGTGCAAAAAAAAATGTATTGTGCGCTATTTATCATCTGGAGAACTGTCACCAATTAATATCTGCCACTTTATGAGGTGGGGCGGCTGTGGCAGAGTGGTTAGGGGAGTCGTCCTGGAACCGGAAGGTCGCTGGTTCGATCTCCCGTCCAGCTCTCTCAGTTGTTGTGTCCTTGAGCAAGATACTGTACTTCAACCCTAGTGCCTCTGATGTGTGTCCCATCAGTGTATGAATGTGATTGGCACTGATTAGTCTCCATGGATGATCGTACATGTTAGCTTTGTAGAGACCTAATAGAGTGCTGTGTGAATGGGTAAATGAGGACACAGATTGTAGTGTGAAGCGCTTTGAGTATCCTGGATGGATAGAAAAGCGTTATATAAGTACAGTCCGTTTACCATTTATGATTAATGCCGCGTGATGATGACATATTTTTGTGTGACGTACTCTCACTATCAAGCACATGTATGTGAGCCCATTTCATAACAAATAGAGAAGAAGACGGCCTGAAGAAGCTAATCTTAACACTACAAACCTCACCTGAAACACAGACATAAACCAGAGTACAACAAAAGCCAGAGGATCGAGGCAACAATGTCGGCTCCAGCAAACACTCCTCCAGCTAATGGTGGAAACAAATCAGCTGAGAATCCACGATGCTCTCTGTCAGTTTGTCCAGAACAAACAGCAAAGTTAGTCAGACATGTATAATTTAAAAAAAACAGCTTAACTGATTTAGCTGATTTCACCTATTAATCATTTTCAGCTAAATGCCACATATAATACATTTTTTTAGCCAATATATGAAATCAGTTCCAAATGTTACGATTGGAGGAAACAAGGCACCACTCATCACCTGCCTAATACCGTCCAGAAGCATGGTGGTGGCAGCATCATGCTGCGGAGGAGTTATTCAGGAACTAGACTGATCAGGGTTGAAGGATGAATGAAGACCTCAATGAAACCCTGTTTCACAGAGATCAGGAGTGTTGGATTTAGATCTCTTTTCAGGGCTATGTTTCTTGTTTCTCCCCAGGTGGTTCCTTGTCAGCCCATTACTTTTTCCTTTATATTTGATGTCTTTTTGTGCATCTTACACCGTTTTGGTTTGCCTCTCTGTGCTCCTATACGTTTTGCCACCCCGTCAGCATTTTCTTTGTTGTTGTTGTAAATGAATCTTGTTTGTTTGGCTGCTTCATGGGTTTTTCGCCGCAAACTGTAACACTCAGACTAGGTCGAAGTTTCAACTTCCAGCAGAACGTCGACCTAAAGCCCACAGAAAATAGACTGTCTTAGCTTAAAGTGCCTGTGACATGCTTTTTCTTCAATTACAAAAAATTAAAAGAATATCCTAATATTTTAGAAATTTGCATCATTCATATGATTTTTACCTAGTTTGTCACAAAACATACGTATTTTTTGCTAAATTTGGTGCAGTCAAAGCGAAACAGGAAGTGATGTCAAAGGGGAACTCTTAAAAGAAAAGGGCAACTTCCTGGTCTTTATAAATATGGCTCTTCTTTATCTATCTGACATTGACTCAAAATTATCTACAGAAACATCTGATTCTTTGCAGTCTGTTGTTAGCCATTCTCATTCAGGCATCGCCCTTTGACATCACTTCCTGTTTCTGCTCATGCAAATATCTCAACAACTGTTCATTTCAGTGTCGTAGATTTTTGTTTGCAATTCATCATTAATGCTATCTTTCCAAATTTGCACTCAAATATTATCACTTAAATTTAATGCCACAGGCACTTTAAGCCTGACTTGAACCCCATCATCCCTGGAAAGGACTCAACCGGTCCCCATACAACCTGAACAAGGATTTTTGAAAGAAGAATGTCAGACACAAAGCTTAAAGCCAAGAACTCAGTTGTAATTACTATTAAGGGTGCTTTTGAGAGCAAACAAGAGGGAAAAGATCTGCAACATAAATATGCACAAAGAGAAAGGAAAGTTTTTCAAATTGTGATTATTGCAGAATCTGAGTCCTGTGAACCTTAGAGACATTTCTCAGAATCTTGAATTAATAAAATAAGAAGAGGACGATGTGACAGCAATAACTGGAACCCTAATCAGACTTTAGTGGTCCCCTGTAATATAAGGAGGTCTGACATACAGAGGGGAAGTTTATGACATTTTAATGAGCTGCAGGAGGTTGGAATCCTTATGTTTCACTTTTTACAGTAATTTTGTTTCCTTCAAACTAGTGAGACACCTGTTCCCCCTTTTAAACACAATATCTTTAAACGGTTCTTCTTTTTGGTTTTAAACATCAGTTTCCAGACTCACCAGGTGCGCCGCCGGGCTTGTGTCCATCTGCTTCAGCTCGCCCGCCCCGTCGCGCCCCGCAGCACGCAGCATGCCTTCAAGTTGTCCACGCAGATGGTGCGGGACATGGCAGCAAGGAGTCCCCCCGCTGAGCTCTCACCCCCCGCGTGGAGTTTCTGTTCTCCTCCAAGTCCCGGTCTGAAACGGCGCGGCAAAGCTGGAGAAGGCTCCGTCAACAGAGGGAGAAACGCGGCTGCTCCTCCGCCGGACTGCCCGTCAGTCTCTCCATCTGAGACGTGGCAGATGTTGCGGAGGAGTGAGTGTTGTGTGCGTGTGTATGTGTGTGTGAGAGTGTTTTGTGGAGAGCAGGTGTTCCCGGCTCGCTGATGGTCGCACGGCTAGGCTCGGACCGCTCAGGTGCGTCCGGAGCTGCGCGCTCCGCGGTGCGCTGAGCTCCAACAGACCGAGAGCTTCAGAGGCGTTCCACAGTCAGAGGGAGGGTCTGTCCTCCAGAGCTGTCATCTGATCACTTTCATTTTTAGATTTTATTTGAATGTGGTCAATAAGATGTGACTGCTGAAAGTTTTATTCCATCAGTTCAGTTCATGTGACTGGGGGCAAATAAAATTCCCGAGGTGTTTCACCAAACCCAAAGTCAGGACAGAATTTCAGGAGTTTATATATAT